CAACAACTATCCAGAATTGCAGTTTTCTGCCTTTGTTTTCACTGTGATGGTTGCCAGGCGGTGAAAATGCATGAATGTCCACCCCAAAAACACCCTACATAGTCCTGTAATCTACAGATAACACTGAATCATACTACTTAGGGTGAAATAATTTACCTGTGATGTAGATTTTCTCGTTTGTCCTTTCTCCATACCATCACCATCAGAATCTTTTGACTTTTTCCCAGGACCCTTCTCACCACCGCCATCGGTGTCTTTAGACACTGACAGACTTGCATGCCATTTAGCGAAGCATAGTCCCCTACACAGGTGTACCAAGCACACCGCACAGAAGAATCTCGTATCGCGAGGATGTCCACTCGGTTGTCGTCTGCCATCTATCCAGCACTGAACGCAGCGTTTTCCCCGTGCATGGACTTTCTGAATCTTGTGGCCAGAAGCAGTGGCTATGTCCTGGTATGACCTCATTACCGTGGCTAGTTGCTGTGATGTCATGGCAGCGGCTACTTGCTCTGGTCTTGGCACGGCAGCCGCTTTGGAAAATGGCACCACCGCTCGCGACAAACTGCTGGAAGGTTTTCCTCGTCTTGATGGAGTCATTTTGTGAGATGAACTAACAGTAGCCTGGTTGGGTTTTTGTGAGTGTGTACTAACAGGTAGCAGCTCTGTTGCACCGTGCTGGGAAGTTGGAGCAGGTGCTGAATGGTCATGTGATACCATACCTGCCACTGATTGGTCAGATCTTACATAGCCTGTGACTACTTGCAGATAGTCCGTCACATTACAAGTCGATGCGGTATCTTCAGATTGGCCGGATCTCAGCAATGACGAATTAGACGCAAACTGACCTGAACTTGACGTCGTTACAGCATGCTGTGATTGCGCAATGTCAGTGTTAACTACGTGGGATTCTGTCCTGCCTTGCTGTGTCCGTAATGAGGATGCAATCTGCTCTGATCGCATGAAGTTAGCTGCCACTTGCGGATAATCCGATAATCCTTGACGCATGCCACGGGTCATTGACGTGGGTTTCATAGCGGATGTGCTAGACATGGCTTGGTCAGCAGTAACTGAGGCTTGATTTGATACGATGGAATTGGTCATCTAAAGAGTAATAGAAATATCAGGTTTCAAAATCATAATGTAAATACTAACAAGAAGTGAATGCAAAGAAATTTTAATATTTTTTTATTTATTATATAAACTTTTGTCATTTCAGTATTATTTATATATTCGTCATTTAATTATTAATTTTTATATATTTTTTTTGGTTTATATGGATAATATTATTTATTTATTATTTTTCAGAGGGATTTTGTGAATTATTTTTATTCTGTTCTTGGTTTGGAAATGCAACTTTAATTCGAACATTCCCACAAGTTGTATACTTCATAAATCTTGTTAAATCTGGTATATTATCTCTTTCGAAATTAGTAATTAATTTAAATTTCTAGAAAGTACTAATAATATGAATAATAAAAAAAAATATTATGAGAATACTACAAAGTATCGATATGCATTAAAAAGGTGCATTTTTCAACTAATTCTGTGAATCAGTGATAATCGCAAAATTTTGAGCAACAAAAATTTTCTGCTGTGTAACAACATTGAATGTAAGTGACTTTCCCAACATTTTGTCTTCACAAATATGATAAAATTATCAAAAGTTCAAAGGTTTATAGTACTTAAAGTAAATGAAAAGTTAACAAAATTAGCATATATAAAATAGTGTGAGTATAGGGTTGGACCATTAAACTCTGTGGGGGTACATTGCTGAAATGGGAAAATTGGTTTTGGACTCGCATGCACTCCAAATGAAGTATTACCGTACTTATCCGGGTAAGAGCCCATGCCTGGACAAACGTCTACCCTCCACTTTTGACACAATAAAAAAGTTGAGGTCATATCCGGGCACACGCCCAGGGGGTCTCTTTTTCTACACAAAACAAAAAACAAAAACAAATATTTTCTATTCGTTGACTGTGGTTGTTGACTGTTGACTTTCTGAAGTCTGTCGT